TTGAAGGGCTGAATACAGAGACCTGGTGAACTACGTGCCACAAAATCCTCAAACGAACTTTATTTCAATCCTTCATAAGATTCCGATCCTTAGCTATGAGTAATTAATGATGTACATGTCACTTTCGAATATGACCGATTTCATCGCAACTCTCCTATTAAGCTTAGGGTGTAATTATAGATTCTTATTGCTCGGAGTATACTTCAGTAGTGTTATAAAAACCTGGGAGAATTCCAGTAAGATATCTTTAATCATTTCTAAGATACAACGGTTCAAAACTTAATCTATCAATTGGACAATTTTGCTGTTACACTATTTAGACAATTTTTTTGTTAGACCTGGTATATATATATATATATATATATATGTGTGTGTGTGTGTGTGTGTATCTGTGTCTGTCTGTGAAGAGGCAATGATTAAACAGGAAGACATTAAAGGGGTTAAAGATGACAGAAACATGAAACAAAATAGAAATATGGAAGATTTCGCTAGAAAAACAAATCAAAAGCGATCCATGAAAACAAACCCTTTTACGATAACATATTTGGAACGTGTCTGACGAAAATACGGAGTAAGTAAAATGGAGCTCGTCTTCAAAAAAAAAAAAAAAAAAAACAAGAAAAAGAAAAAAAAAACGAACATAAGTGAATTGGCTGATAAGTGGAATCGAAAGTAAGTAAAAACGCCACTCAATGGCGGGAAAAAAAAATACAGAAAAACAAAAAAAAAAAAACAAAGAAAGAGGCGGGAAAAATTAGAAGCCCGGTGCAAAGCGGAAGAAGTTTTGCGATGCGAGTGGCGATCGATATTATTGATTGGTATTGACTGGCAAAGCAGAGGAGATAAGTGTTGGCTTGGCCTGGCGAAAGTGATAGGTTTGTAGTAGAGAATGGAATGTCTGCCAAAGAAGTCGGAAAGGAGGGGGGCGAGAGGACAAAAAAAGATAACAAAAAGAACGTATATAGATGGCTAAGCAAAAAATTTTGAAACCTACAAAGATTCATAGAGATGTTGATAAATATATGAAGGCCGAGAAAGAATAAATAGATATATGCATATTATTGTATCAGATACCAAAACAATCCCCCCCACATCTCCTAAAATTCTCTATGTTAAGGTTTCATCTCCCTCCTCCTCATACTTACTTTCTCTAAATTCTGTTTTGATTTCCGGAGTTGTTTTTTTCTGTTTTCATTTTGAATTTGTAGGTCTGATGATTTGGATCGTATTTACGATTCCAATGGAATAAATTATGACCATGAAATATTAGTGTTTAAGCCTTTTTATTATATATATATATATATATATATATATATATATATATGAAAATTTTTCAGAGTTTACCTGTCGAAAGGACAATATTTATAAATATAAATGACAATAGGAAAACTGTAAGTGTTGCCAACGCGTTTCGTCCACTGTGGACTTTCTCAAAGCAAAAACTGAAATGAATTTATTTAAACAATGTAACTAATAATAACAAAAACAAAATGTCCTTAGCAACTGGAATAATTTAGAGAACGCTATTTTCATATTGTTAACTAAAAATTACGTCAATTACTGTCACGTGTGGGGATATTGTTATTATTGCTGTGTTGACGGATTCAACCATTTTCTTTTGATTTCTTGATATTGTACTTGAACTGTACAACGAAACATGTCTTAATATATATTGTTGTGGCCTTGTTAGGGCCAGAATTAAAGACACAAGAGAGGAATTGAGTTAAATATATTGACAAAAACAGTAATACAAACATATACAAACGAGAGTGCTACAGCAAGAATGTTCGGTTTGGCTGTCAGAGCTGACTGCTGGAAACTTTCCTCTCAAAAGGCAGTACCTGCTCCTATTTATAGCTCGGAGAGTTCATGCGTGAATGGGTAAATTACCATAATATATATATATATATATATATATATATATATATATATATATATATATATATAAATGCTCAAATAATAATATTCCATGGTTATAATTTATTACATTGGAATCGCGACCACGATCCAATTCATCAGACCTAAAAATTTTATATTATATTCTTACTCTGTCCTGGACATTGAGTTCTACCTGAATTTTATCCACTTGGGAATTTATTTATATAAATATATATAGATATATTTATATATATATATATATTGACTACTAATATTATACACACAAACACACACACACACCCACAAATATACATATATATATATATATATATATATATATATATATATATATATATATATATACAGTGGGGGAAATAAACATTCGTACACCTGAAAATTATATTTTTATAAAAGTAAAAGCCTTAAATAAAATAAATCTCGGCACATTTTATGTATAAAGACACATACTATTAAAAAATAATAATAAACTTAATTAATTCTTATTCTAACAGAAATTAATGCATTTTTTAAAATTCTAACTGGTGAAAAAAAGTATTCGTACAAATCAATTATTAGAATAAAATAATCAATTAATTATGAAAAACGTATATTCTAGAATGTTCCAGTAATGTTATCAGTAATTATAGTTAACGTTATTAGCCATTATCAGAGCATTCTGCAATTTCTAGTCTTAGGAGAAGGTTATAATAATGCCTAAAGGTAAAGAATTGACTATTTCACAAAAACAGCACATTTTGTCTCTTTGGAAAGATGGGAACAGTTACAGAATGATTTCTAACAACCTGAATATTCCTTTTCCTACAATTGTTTCGTTTATTGCAAGGTTTAAAACTCGTAACAGCGTCTAAAACCAAAGACGAACAGATGCTCCGAGGAAGATTTCTCTAAGATCAGCAAGGATATTAGGACGCCAGATCCAACAAAATCCACAGGTTACCCGAGAAGAGATGCAGGAACATCTGCGTGCATTAGGGATTGAAGTAACCAAGCGTACAATAAGTAATGAACTACACAAAAACAGTCTGAAATCACACATCCCAAGGAAGACTCCACTCCTTTTGAAACGACACAGAGATGCTAGGCTAAAATTCGTTAGAGAGCATAAGGATAAAGAATATTCGTTTTGGGAAAAAGTACTATGGAGAGATGAAACTAAAATAGAGTTGTTTGGTCATAATTATCGAAATCATGTGTGGCGGAAGGACGGTGAAGCCTACTTACCAAAGAACATGTTGCCAACTGTAAAGTTTGGTGGTGGCAGTATCATGATCTGAGGCTGTTTTTCTGCAAAAGGTGTTGGCAGAATATCAATAATAGATGGCAAGATGAATGCCAAAAGATACCAGAAAATCCTGCAAGACAATTTAATGCGTTCTGTTGAGAGACTTCGGCTACTTCCTGATTGGGTTTTCCAACTGGATAATGATCCTAAGCATACCGCTAGATCTACAAGGAAACGGTTAGCTGAAAGTAACGTTGATGTCTTGCAATGGCCAAGTCAGTCCCCAGAGTTGAACCCAATCGAGAATTTATGGCGATATTTGAAAATTGAAATTGGGAAAAGAGCACCAACAAATATCAAGAATTTGAAGACAATATCCCAAGAAGAATGGGACAAAATACCACACAATGTGTGCAAATCATTAGTTGAGACGTACAGGAATAGACTGGTAGCTGTTGAACTCAATAAAGGATATTCCACAAAGTATTAAATTAAGTTAATATGCTTTTTTTTTGTTTTGTACGAATACTTTTTTCATCAGTTAAAATGAAAAAAATTTCATTAATTTCTGTTAGAATAAGAATTAATTAAGTTTATTACTATTTTTTAATAAAATGTATCTTTACACATGTATGAAAATTTGTTTTCGTTAAGGCTTTTACATTTATAAAAATACAATTTTTCATGTGTACGAATATTTATTTCCCCGCTGTATATATATATATATATATATATATATATATATATATATATATATATATATATATATATACACTAAAAAACAATGTTGGTGTGACAACGACTTTCCAGAAAAGACAAAGAAAAATGCCGTACAAAGAAAGATAAAGAAGAAAGACAAAATGTCAAGCAAAGTTCTCAATGTCCAGATTATCTAGACAGAAGAACCCCCCCCCATTCAGAAAGTGAACACGTAACAAAGGACAGCGCGACTCGTTACTCGTGTTTCAGGACTTCTAGTCGACTGAGGACCGCGAGTAAACGATGGGGACTTTTCTTTATATTTAATACATAACTAACAACACACAAAGCGCATTGGTCGTTCACCTAAGCAAAACGAACGACGATTTTGTGGAAAGTGCTCAATATCCGTGATAGAGCTAACATATTCACTTGTATGGATATGAGTTTGTAACCCTGGGTTTCACACTTTTGAGATCATCAAAGAAATCCAGTGTTAGAAACTTATATCCATACAACTGAATATATATATATATATATATATATATATATATATATATATATATTGAACATTGATGTCAACACTTAGAGGCGACAGGCTGTTTCATGCTAGATGCATTCGTCAGGCCACGAGTGTTGTTTTTTTTCTCGGGTATTTATATATACGGGTCAGTGGTGCATTTTGGGTAGTCTATTTTGGCGGTTATTTTGCCGGAAGTAGTTTATTTATTTAGGTTAAATTATTTTGCTTGTTTTTATTTAGTTTTATTTTTTATTTTTTATCTTATATATCTATTTATTTATTTATTTTATTTTAATCGGTGTTTTATTAACGTAGTAAAAATTGTTTATCTCGCTTATTTAATAGTTTTGTTTTGGTTTGGAAAGATAACTAAAGCTATTTATTCAATTTTGGGATTGATTGTTGTACTTTATTCTAACTATTATTTTGGCAGGAACAGTTTTAATTTGTTTATTACTTTATTTATTTGGATTGATTATCTTTATTTGTTTTTTTCTGAAAGTTAATTTATCGGGATCGGTTTGTTAGTTTGTTTATGTATCTATTTATTTGGATTAATATAGATTAATTTATTTTACTTGCTTTTTATAATTAATTTATTATACTGCCTATTTTTATTTACTCTTTTCGGTTTTCGATTTTTAAGTGACGTAGTATTTAGAAAGAAAGAAAGAAAAAAAGAAAGAAAGAAAGAAAGAAAGAAAGAAAGAAAGAAAGAGGGGGTGGGATGGAGGCGGCACGGTGGAGTAGTGGATAGCGGCTCGGATTGAGGAATCGGAGAGCCGAGTTCGAATTCTATTCGAACCCATTACATTCACTTACGTGAATTGGGAAAGGTATGAATCCTCTTCTTCTCTCGCTATAGGTAAATAACAAGATAGACTGGGTTCTCTAGCCTTGGATGGCAACTGCTCTAGGAGGACAACAACTCTAAATTCAAAACCTGAGGACCTTGTGGCACGTAGAGCACGAAGTTTTTGTATTCGGCTTTTCCAAAACGTGTGGTTGGTTCTGCAACAAAGCATCACCACTATAATCAAACCATATGTGCAGGTTGTCTGGCCTAAACCTCATGTAAAAGGGTCCCCAGTCGGTGTGGGTTAACAGCCCGCATTGATAAACGACCAAAGAGTCCACGATATATATATATGTCTTTAATAAATTGTCGGACTTTGTCCAATTATTAATGTATGACGTCATTTATTTACATTTGATACGCCATGAGCAGTTATGAATGTACGAGATTCATGGAAGATTGAAGTTTATAAGCAGTAAATTTGCCTACCGAACGCTTCTTTGTGGCCGAGTCGGTTAAGGCACGTCAGCGTAAATGACGGTTCCGTATAGATTGCAGGTTCGAATCCTGTCAAAGGACGAATATTTTCTATGAAAATTTCTCGGACATTCAGGCCGGTAAATGTTATTTAATACTGTTTATTATAAACAGAGCATTTACTTAAATACTTGTATCTATAAAAAAGAACGTTAAACATAAAAATGTCTTTAATATATATATATAGATATAATTATAGATAACCAGACTCGTTTCGAAAACTGGCTCACTAGGTATATATATATTATGAAATGGATTTAGTCCGACAATTATTTAATATATTTTCTGTATATACGCTATTTTTAATATTTATTTAAATAAGTGCTCTGTTTTTTCCAATAAACAGTATGAATGTTCGAGAAATTTCATAGAAAATACTCGTTCTGCGACGGGAATCGAACCTGTATTCCTATACGGAAACCTTCATTTGCTGTACTACTCAGCTACAGTCGGATTTTGCTAACCAGTCGCTTCACTGTAGCTGAATGGCAAAGCACACCAGGCCAAATGACGCTTCCGGTATGTTCGATTCCTGTCTGGGAACCGCCTATCTTCAACGAAATTTCTCCAACGGACAGGTCGGTAAATCTAATTAATTCTGTTTAATTAAGAACAGAGCATTTACTTAAATAAATTGTATCTTCAAAATATAAACAGAATATAAAAAGCAACATGGCAATATAGCACATAACACCCTGCTTAGAATGGAGATCAGCGTGTTTTAGTGAACTCGGCAGTTTTCAATCTGCTTGTCTGAATCATCTTCAAGAAGCGAGAGCAAGATCTAAAAGGTCAGCCAATCTAACAAGGATCTCATCTCACAATCCTCACTCTTGCTCCATATGCGACCTCCTTTGTAAATCACTAGCGGGTCTTAAGTGCCATTTAAGATTATCGCACAAGATTTCATAACTGAATCAATTAAGCTGTCAGATTCTCATACGTCAAAACGTACGGGAGAATCCATTATATATATATATATATATATATATATATATATATATAGGAAAGATTTTTTATTTATTGATGCAGCATATTTTAATTTATTGCTGAAATGTTATAATGGATTTGAGGACAGCTGGAGAGCGCAAATTTGTATAAGATTTCTCGAATATTCAGGCCGGTAGGAGAAAATAAATAAATCTACTGTTTAATAAATAAATAAAAGCAGAGTATCTACCCAAATATGGCCATCCATTAAAAACAATGTTTAAACAATAATGTTCTTTCTTCCTTTAATAAGGATACTATAAAAACTTGTTTGTAATTACGTTTGGAGCCTAATAAAAATAAGTTGGCAAAACTTGTCTAAAATATTTAATGAGACATGTCTTAATAATTTAAATACACGCACATACACATATATATAAATATATATATATATTAAGAAATGGACAAGGCCCGACAATTTATTTATTAAAGACATATTTTATGTTTAACGTTGTTATTTTATAGATACAAGTATTTAAGCAAATGCTCTGTTTATGATAAACAGTATTAAATAACATTTACCGGCCTAAATGTCCGAGAAATTTTCATAGAAAATATTCGTTCTTTGACAGGATTCGAACCTGCATCCTATACGGAACCGTCATATACGCTGACGTGCCTTACCTCTGGGATACAAAGAACCTTTTCGGTAGACAAGGTCGAATTTACTGCTTATAAATCCTGTCAAAGAACGAATATTTTCTATCAAAATTTCTCGGACAATCAGGCCGGTAAATGTTATTTAATACTGTTTATCATAAACAGAGCATTTGTTTAAATACTTGTATCTATAAAATAACAACGTTATATTATAAATATATATATATGTATATATATATATATATATGTATGTATGTATGTATACACATTTATGATTTAAGAGCCGGAATCCTCAAATATTTTATACTCTATTTGCATTATTCAGACTGTTGTTCTCATCATTGTTGCTATATTCACGATGTCTCGACTGTTGTAAGCTCCGGTCTTCTGGAATGATTGGAATTTCGTGTCAGTTATTTCCCATTTATTTTGAACTAGAACAATCTACCACGGTGGACGAAATGATGATTTTACTACTGGAATGCATTGAAAATCAGGAAGAAAGGGATTGTCAGTGGTCAGGAATGAATGCAAATCTGATAGAATAGGGGAATGAAAGGCTAATGATTTTACTATGAATCAGGGTGGTCAGTGGGAATGAATGCAAGCATTACTGATAGAATAGGGCTATTATATGTATAATGTAAATGCATTGCTAATGATTTTACTATAGGTATACATTGAAAATGAGAAAGAAAATGATTGTCAGTGTTCAAGAATAAATGCAAGCATTACTGATAGAATAGGCTATTATATTATAATGTAAATAATGATTTTACTATAAATGCATTGAAAATAATGATTTTACTATAGGAATACATTGAAATGAAAGGGCTATTAAATGATTGTAAATGCAGATTTTCAGGAATGAAAATGAGGAAGAAAGAGATTTACAGGAATGAATGCAAGCATTACTGATAGAATAGGGCTATTATATGTATAATGTAAATGCATTGCTAATGATTTTACTATAGGAATGCATTGAAAATCAGGAAGAAAGGGATTGTCAGTGGTCAGGAATGAATGCAAGCATTATTGATAGAATAGGGCTATTATATGTATAATAAAATGCATTGCTATTGCTAAGGAATTTGAAAATAGGAAGAATGCATGGTCAGGAAAATGAGGAAGAAAGGGCTATTATATGTATAATGTAAATGTGGTCAGGGAAAATGAGGAAGAAAGGGATTGTCAGTGGTCAGGAATGAATGCAAGCATTACTGATAGAATAGGCATGTGTTATGTATAGAATTTAAAACCTCTGGGTGGTGTTCAACCTCATTAAATAAATTTAATGCTTGTGAGCGATATGTACACCCATTACCCGTCGGGAATCCTTCGTTTGTTTTATTTGTTTCGTTTTTTGTTTGTTTTTTTAACTGAATATCTGAGACATGAAATTAAAAATAAAGTAATGGAACCGAAAGCTGCAGGTGGAACTCTTGTACCAATGTTATTATAATCTCCAAGTAATTGTACCAACTTTTGGGAATGGTACCACTTGAATTAGGGCTGACGAATAAAAAGGAAGTCAAAGCTATAGTTCGCCATGTAAATAGTCAGCGAGAGCATAAAAAAAAAATTTAAATGAACGAAACCCGGGCTGTTGGCCTCACCAAATTCTCCTCCCATTAAAATGCCGTTGCACAAAGCAAAGGCAAACTTAAAGAAAACACACATACACACACACACACCAAAAAAAGCGATAAAACGAAGAAACATTATCATGTTACGGGGATAAATTCTTATTTCTTTTTTTAATATATTTTTCGTTTCTTGTTTAATGTTTTAAACAAGTTTCTTTTTCAGTTTTATTCAGGTTTTATTTATATCTTAGAAATAATGGTTAACGCAATTAGCATACCATTTGGGTTATCGAAGGGTTACAAGGGACGGAAATTTAAAAGAGAAATAGAAAGATGGATTTTTTCGGTTTAATTCAGAGCGAATCATGAAAAGTTATTATCACAAATAAGAAATTAAAAATTTTAAAACAAAATTCGAATGCTGTTTATTCTCTTATAAAATTTTTGACACTCATTTTTCCAATTATAAATTTTAAAATTTGTATATTTTTTTTCTATTATTAAATTTTTGACACACCTTTCCAATTATAGATTTCAAATCAAAATTTGTATATTGTTTTTATCTTTTATTAAATTTTTGACACACTTTTCCAATTATAAATTTTAAATCAAAATTTGTATGTTGTTTTTTCTATTATTAAATTTTTGACACACTTTTGCAATTCTAAATTTTATGTCAAAATTTGAATGTCTTTTTCTATTATTAAATTCTTGACACTTATTTGCAATGATAAATTTCTGGCCTCTTGTTTTTCAGTCAAATTTGATCTTCAAAAATGTCAATGTAATGTCAATCGTTATATTCTGTCTTATTAATTTCTCTTCTTCTATTGTTCTCTGTCTATAATATATATATATATATATATATATATATATATATATATATATATATATATAATTATTTATTTAAAAATATGAGTCCAACTCGCGACATAAGAAGTCTCATGTTTCAAAACAAGAGCCGAAAACTTCAATATTATTATTTGAATTAAATTGAGTTAAAGTAAGCTCTGTTCCATCTTCAAGCGAAATTTTTTTTTTTTTTTTTTTTTGAATAACGTATTTCTGGAATTTACGTGTTTTAATAATTGAAATCAAAATTTCCATGGTAACAGCTAGGGCGAATTGTTTAAATTGGGTAGGCGTGTATATATATATATATATATATATATATATATATATATATAAGAATCGTTTGGAAAAAACAACAGATAGCTCAACTTGTAGATATGTCAAAACAAATCGGTACCCGAGAAAAAAATTGGAAAAAAAAGAACTAAATCTATCAAAACATAACGAAACAAATCGTCGACTGCCTTAAATCTTTAGTTCGAAGAACAAAACCCCAAGCGAATAGTAACAGTAGAGGGCTCAATACGCTACGGAAATAAATAAATAAATCCTAAAAGCCAGGAAAATCTACCTAGGTTTCACCTAAACGGATCTTCATGTCAGCTTACCTTGAAGATCCGTTTAGTTGAAACCTAGATAGGTTTTCTTGGCTTTGTATGATATATTTTAGGTATATATATATAATCGACTCTCCCGTCGACATTCGACGTATGAGGGTCAAGCAGATCAGTTTCCAGGAAACCGACAGCCCGACACCGGCACATGAGATTTGATTATAGTGGTAAAGGCCTCGTGCAGGACCATCCACACTTTTTGAAGGGGCGAATACAGAGACCTGGTGCACCGAGTACCACAAGAACCAAACGACCCTCCGCAGGGTTTTGAATTCAGAGTTGACCTTCTCCTAGACCAGTTGACATCCAAGGCTATAGAACCCAGTCTGTCCTGCTATTTAACAATAGCTGGAGGGAGAGGAAGAGGATTCATACCTTTCCCAAGGGTATTAGCACGTAAGTGAATGTAAAGGATTCGACTGGAATTCGAACTCGGCTCTGCGATTCCTCAATCCAAACCGCTATCCATTACTCTACCGTGCCTCCTCTCTCTCTTTCTCTCTCTCTCTCTTTCTTTCTCTCTCTCTCTCTCTCTCTCTATATATATATATATATATATATATATATATGAATCATTCATAGAAAAAATTGAACTGCACCACATACTTGATATTAATATAACTGATCCGACGTGCAACTTTCGGATAATAACTATGACATTCCTTTATTTATTGAACAGTTTAGTTCATGCCACATTGGTTGAAAAACCTAGCAGTACAAAAGAATTTTCCTATTACCATATAAGTACAAAAATGCACAATCTTAAAATTTAAAAATTCAACCTCAGCGTTGCGACCGCACGCTCCAAAAAATTTCTTACAATTTACAATAACACATTTCTAAAAACATTTTTCGGATTACATCTATATTTTCGTTGTCCTGTTATTACCGAGAAGTAAAAAACAAAACCAAATCTATTTCCATATCTGAAGATGTCTGTAGGAACAGACGAAACCTTGTAAAAAACAAAAAAAGACCTTATGCAACTGGAATTTATAAACAGGGATCATAACATTCATATACAAGTTCGGGGTTAATGTACTTTATTAAAATTGTCTGCGAAGATGTATTCTCGCCATTTAAATCATTAACTTCTATATCTGTTTTTTGTATGAATGATTCATATAATGTAAATTGAACTGCACCACATACTTGATATATATATATATATATATATATATATATATATATATATATATATATATATATATATAGATGCACACACACACATATATATATATTTCTGTTATTCTTTCACGTTCAGTAACACCTATGAATTTCAGCGGAGTACAAGATTGACGTCACTATCAGATTGTACAGTTGAAATGGATAGATATAACCGTATGTTCTATATTGACAATTTCTTCACTCGCACTTCTCTCTGGTGGAAATCTCTTCTGTCATCTGATGGTGAATGTCTTTTGAAATGTTCCTTTTTCAATCAGTAAGTATTGAATTTTTAGTCGAACTTAATTGGCCTTTCGCTTCTACATATTTTTTCTCCCACCAGGCATCCTTCCTCGTTGAATAGTAATCCTTGATCTCATGGACACAAATTATCGCTAAAGATTCTGGAAAAAACAATGTCCTGCTCCTTTTAACGCTCCTGATAGCACCTGCTACCTCATGACTTGCTCTATCATTACAGCTGTCAGATCAGACCAAAACGGGATCATTGCCGATACATCTTAACTAAAGCTGCCTAACCCTCACTTTCCGGCTTCCAACACGGCCTTGTGGGTGATGAATACCACACCAGACGTTCACAGCCAGGACCAACCATACTATGTGTTATGGGACCTTACCCATAATAACATAATTCCATACGTAATAAATACTGCGCCTGAAGAGGAAGCAGGGAGTTCAGCCCGAAGTCGGGCGACCGGCTGACCGTCTGATCGGTTGAACTCTGCCTTCGGGCGGGGAGGAACCCGAACGTGGCTACGCCGAAGGGCGGAGTCTCTTTCGGGGAGGTAAACCGACCCTGAACCCGTTTATACGGGTTCAAAGGTCATATTTTTGGCCGAGCCCACGGGCTCGGAGATCCCACGTTAAACCGGCCTTGTGCCACATGATGCCCTCGTGGCGGGGGGAGGTGACTAAATACCGTTCAGTCTGAAGTCTGGAGTGAGGTCCGTCAGGAGTCTGTCAGTCAGTCAGAGCGAGTCAGTCAGTCAAGTCAGAGGCAGTCCGAAACAGAGTCGCGTTCAGACAATTACTACTAAACCTGATTGTTCGTACTAACACTTTCTACTTCTCTGTATATATTCCTGTTTGTAATATATCTGTGTTATTCCATATCCGTGTTCGAGTTCTTCTTTATTGGTTCTACTTTGGACTATCACCCGGGGTACAAGGAACCGGACCATAACACTAGGTACCCTCAGTCGATTCATCTACATTCCCTTCATATTCCTTTTGTCAGGATGATGTGCCCCTCAGGCAGCTTCTTCTTCTCCACAACTCCATTATGGAACGCACTCCCAAGAGAGTATTTACCTGATCACTATAATCTTGGCCTTTAAAAATTCAAGGATCAATTGTTATCTCTCCTTCATGCCCTCATAATATGCATCCTAGCTCCCTTCCTGTACGCCAGGGGTGGCCAACCTTTTGATTCCATGCGCCAATATTTTGTACGATGAATTTAAATGCGCCACTCAAACACTCACTTCCTTTCAGTATGTGTTGTGATATGGACATATTTTAAACTTATAATAAAATCTATTTATTAGAAAAATCTATGCTTATGACCAGAGGCGTATCCTTTTAGCACTTTCGCAAAGGACGTGCAATAAATATAAAATCACTGAAATGAATGAGTAGAAGTGACTTAGTTTCTTTTCATCAAAAGGATGCAATGCGCCATTTGTAAGCATCCAATGCGCCACTTATGGCGCATGCGCTACAGGTTGGCCATCCTTGCTGTACGCCCTTGGGTGCCGACCCTTATCGGAATCATCGAATCAATGCGAACGATTCATTCCTTAGCTGCATAGTGTTGCGGACCCGGTAGGGTGCAGTGCTGGATTATACTGAGTGGCCTTGTGCCAGACACCACACTAAACTACCGAGCCTACAAGCAAAGTAAAAATGCGTGAATGAACAACGAAGAAATGTGAAAAAAAATCCACACGTGCATAAATAAAATATATTAACAAGATAGCCTCCTCGGAATGACTGAAAAAGACTGGATTTCAACAAGAGTAATCTTTATTTAATACAGGAAAAGCAAGTAATTTGTCCCGTGGTAGAGACCAATGAAAAAGTTCCGCGCCAAAATGGAAAAGCAAGATGGCTAAAGGCGGGAAAAGGTTCTTGAAGAAAAAAGGTTCCAGTAAGTCAATGTACATGGTAATATTCATACAAGGAAAAAAATACTCACTGCGAGTTTAGGTAATGTGAGTGAATGTTATGTACGTATTTTTTTTTTTTTTTTTTTTTTTTTGTGTACTGGTTCAAAACAGATTTCTGACGAGACTCAAAGTGGACGACGGATTGTTTTGTATGTTCTGCATCGTCTCGGAGGAGGGCTTTGAATGACGAGCCAAAAAGGACGAAAAATTAATTATTTGGTATTCTCATAGTCTTGTGAAAGAAATTCGAATGACGAGCCAAAAGTGACGAGGAAAAAATTATCTGGTATTGCATCGTCTCGAAAAGGGGTCTTGAATGACCAGCCAAAAGGAACGAAGAATTAATTATTTGGTATTGCATCGTCTCGGAAAAGGGGTCTTGAATGACCAGCCAAAAGGGACGAGGAATTAATTATTTGGTATTTGCATCGTCTCGGAAAAAATTATTTGTGGTCGCATAGTAAGATATCCTTCGTCAGTCAAACTGAAATATTGACATGGATAAAAATGAGTCTGCCCAGGTCAGAGTCTGGAACGCCAACTGACTTTTTTGAAACAACAGTTTGTCGTTGACGTCACAAATTTTTCGCGGCAAGATTTCAAAAATCTAATTTGCATAAACAGTAGTAGCAGTCGCTTGGTTGGTGACCAAAGCAGTTACTACTGTATTAGACCGAACGAAGGAGAAAGGGGGGGTGTCAAAACGCGCGCGCACACACACGAGTGTCGGAGAAAGGGAGGCAACTCGCGCGCGTAAATGTCGTAGATGGAATAATACATTATTCCACAGCTCTCCCCTGGATCAAATGTCGCAGACATTTGACTAATAATAGTAGAATGTTTCAAATTTCTTCGGAAAGGTGACTCTTCGACCGGAGCTGGTACACTTAGGCTTGTCGAGAGAAACAGGTGTCTTAAAATTCTCCTGAACTTGCGGAGTTGATTGGGAAGTAGTATGAGACGACGGTTTCTCTATAAAGGCAGGTTTCAACCGATCTATTGAAACGTTGTCGGTGTGAATACCTTTTTGTATTTGGAAATATTTGTCCGCGCGTTTAAGAACGCGGTATGGGCCTGTGTAGGCCGGCGTAAGAGGCCGCTTAACAGAGTCATTACGTACAAATACATATTCGCAGTCCTTGAGCTGGAACGGTAAATAGATATCACTCGGGCAGTGCCGCGGTGGTGTATAGCATAAGTTTGCCATTTTAAGGCGTAAGTCCTGAATAAAGAGGAAGAAACTGGTGGTGTGGTCACAGCTGGTGAAAAAATATTGGCCAGGTAAAGATAACGAAGTACCAAATACAAGCTCTGCAGGGGAGCATTTCAAGTCATCCTTAAGAATATTTCTTAACGATAGAAGGATGAGAGGTAATTCATCGACCCAATTATTATTCTCATGCTTCGTTGATAGCGAAGCCTTAAGGGTGCGATGGAATCGTTCCACCAGGCCATTAGCACAGGGTGATACGCTGTAGTACGTATGTGCTTTGCACCAAGGAGTTCAGTGAATTCCCTGAAAAGACACGACTGGAACTGTGCTCCTCTATCTGTAGTAACCACTTTAGGAGTTCCAAAAATCGAAATCCAGTCGCTTAAAATAGCTTTTGCGACAGTCACAGCAGTGGTATCTTTGACAGGGATGGCAGTAGGCCATCGGGAAAAACGATCCACTATAGTTAGAAGGTAGGAATAACCGTGGCAGGTTGGTAAGGGCCCAACTAAGTCCAGGTGTATATTAGTAAAACGAGCATCAGGCTCACTGAAAGTGCCCACGGGAGATTTTGTGTGTCTATGCACCTTACACTTCTGACATTGTAAACAAGTATTAACCCATTCGCGAATGTGAACGTTCATATTCGGCCAAACGAAACGGTCCGAAATTAACTTAACTGTGGCTCTTTTGCTAGGGTGTGAGAGTCCGTGTAGGTGGTCAAAAACCTGTCTACGAAGAGACGGAGGAATATAAGGTCTTGGAGATTTGGATTTTACATCACAGTATAAGACCTTGTTACTAAAAGGAGCTGGACATTTCTGAAGTTCTAAAGAAGTGTCTGATAACACATGCTTCAGAGTTATGTCCGCTTCCTGTTCGTCGGCGATCAAATCTTGACTGAGTGCATCAGTATGCACGACGAACATTTCAGTACGAGATAGGGTATCGGCGACAGTGTTATCCGAACCCATAATGTACCTAATATCAGTAGTAAATTGCGATATATAGTCCAGGTATCTGATCTCCCTCGCAGTGTATTTGTCCGAATTAGTGGACATAACGGACGTTAAAGGTTTGTGGTCCGTAAATATAACGAAGGACCTACCTTCGAGGAGGTGTCTGAAATGCTTAATGGCACGAAATATAGCCAACAGTTCACGAGAAAAGGTACTGTAGCGTGACTGGGCAGGAGAAAGTTTAGCGGAAAAGAACGCTATAGGTCTACGTTTAGAAGGAGTGACTTGTTCAATGACCGCGCCTATTGCTGTTTCGCTAGCGTCAGTGGTCAGGTAGATATCCGATTGAGGGTCGTCCTCTAAGAAAACTAAGCTTAGAAAAATTGCCTAGAGCGGTTTTAGCTGCTCGAAAGGCGTCAAGGCTTCATTCTCAAGTATAATAGTCTTATTCTTCTTCTTCTGTAATAAATTGGTAAGGGGAGTCAGGATGTTAGAACAGTTTGGAATAAACCTCCTGTAGAAGTTGATCATCCCTATAAAGCGTCTCAACTGTTTAATAGAAACAGGGACGGGAAACTCAGTGATAGCTTTTAATCTTTTCAGTTAAAGGGGCAATTCCATTTGCATCGACGTGATGTCCTAAAAATTCTATATGGTCTGATCCGAAGACACATTTGTCCAGGTTTAGACGAAATCCGTAATGGGACAAACGTTGAAGAACTTCGTGTAGGTGTTGTTTATGCGAGGCAGCGTCCTCGCTAGCTATCAGAATGTCGTCAATGTAATCGAAAACAAAGGGAGTCCACGCAGAACCTCGTCCATAAGACGTTGGAATGTCTGTGCTGCGTTGCAAAGGCCGAAAGGCATTTTCAAAAATTCAAATAGACCGAAAGGTGTAGTAACAGCAGTTTTTGGGACATCAGCAGCGGCTACTGGCACCTGATAATATGCTTTTGCTAGATCTATTTTAGTAAAATCTTTGCGCCTTGTAAACCAGAAGTGAAATCGTGGAGGTGGGGGATTGGATAACGATCCCGGACGGTGATGGAATTCAATCTTCTATAATCCACACAAATTCTATAGTCCTCCTTTCCTGGTTTAGGTACTAAATGAAGAGGGAAGCGTAAGGACTGTCGGACGGACGAATAACACCCTCTCGTAGCATGTCGTCGAAAGCTTTCTTTGCGAATTTTAATTTGTTAGGTGCTAGACGACGAGGACGGAAAAACAGGTTGACCAGTGGTCTTAATAAAGTGCTGTGTTTGATGTTTAGTTGAATCAATAGATCCAGCAGGACGCAGGAGGTCCTGGTACTGATTCAATAAGTCTAAAGTACTCTTTATTGTGGCACGTTGCCACGGTGATGCCAGTGGTAGTAAATTTAGAATAAGTGCCAAGAACACACAGTCTTGTTAAGTTGTCAGTCAGGGAATGGTTGTTCATTCGCACGGCGAGATCATAGTGCGCCAGGAAATCTGCACCTAATATCGGCATCTTGACGTCAGCAACAGTAAAATTCAAGTAAAGTCTCGTCGCATCCCTATGTTTAGGGTAAGGGACTTCGTACCGTAAGTATTAATACTGGAACCATTTGCTGCTTGTAAGCGGAGCTGAAAAGGTTGTTGACGAGCTTTATCACGCACGGGTAAGACACTAATGGCAGCGCCGGTATCAACCAAAAACGTAAATTATTACGTGTGTCCGTCACATAAAAAAAGGCGACTAAGTTTTGGTGAAAATGCCTTGCCAGCGAGATTAGTCGCTTTCACTCGCTGGCGGTTTTGTTTTCCGCGACCGCAGTATAAGTACACGGCTTGATGCAGTAATAAGCTTTAGACCCAAATCTTCGGTGGTAGTAACACATAGTAGGAGTGGCATCCTTATCTCGGCTGGACGAGCGTGGTCGACTTCTGAAGCGCCGGCGGGAAGGGAACCGGCTTCGACCACGGCTCTTTAGAGCTAATGTTAAATCCTTAACTTGGCGCTGCAATTCCTCGACTGTTTTTTCCAAGGACCTGTGGTCTCCAGTCCTTCAGCACTGTGTACCGGCGTTGTCTGATTATCCAGTTGCGAGAAAATACGATCCGCGGCGTCCGCTAATTGATCGATCGAGGTGTTTTCGGACATTGGCGCCAAAATTTGGGTTATGGTGGTGGGGAGACGGTCCAGCCACAAGCTTTTTTAATATAGAGTCGGCCATGGTATTTTTGCCGAGTCGGCTTTTCATATAACGAAGAAGTTGGGAGGAGTCCTGCCATCACAAGTTAGGTTGCTAAATAGTTCCCGGATTAATGACTCCTCTGTACGGCCCATTCTCCTTAAGATTGCTTCTTTTAACCGCGCGTAGGGTTCTACTTCAGGAACGGCTTCTAGGAAGTCTGAGACCTCATCGACAATGGCGGGTGGCAAAACCGCCACCACGTGGCCAAACTTTGGTCTTTTGGTCTGTAATCCTTCTGACTGTGAAAATGGCTTCCATTTGTAAGAACCAGTTCTTTATATTCCCTTCATGAAAGGGGGGAAAAGGAGCGACGGCGGCGGACATGTTCGCCAACTCTTCAGAGTCACTAGTCGTCATTCCGGCTATCGAATTTATGCACGTTTATATTTCAGCTTGCTCAGAAATATGTTAGCAAGGTTGCAAAATTATTACGTGTTCAACTCACGGGGTCACCAATCTTGTTGCGGACCCGGTAGGGTGCAGTGCTGGATTATACTGAGTGGCCTTGTGCCAGACACCACACTAAACTACCGAGCCTACAAGCAAAGTAAAAATGCGTGAATGAACAACGAAGAAATGTGAAAAAAATCCACACGTGCATAAATAAAATATATTAACAAGATAGCCTCCTCGGAATGACTGAAAAAGACTGGATTTCAACAAGAGTAATCTTTATTTAATACAGGAAAAGCAAGTAATTTGTCCCGTGGTAGAGACCAATGAAAAAGTTCCGCGCCAAAATGGAAAAGCAAGATGGCTAAAGGCGGGAAAAGGTTCTTGAAGAAAAAAGGTTCCAGTAAGTCAATGTACATGGTAATATTCATACAAGGAAAAAATACTCACTGCGAGTTTAGGTAATGTGAGTGAATGTTATGTACGTATTTTTTTTTTTTTTTTTTTTGTGTACTGGTTCAAAACAGATTTCTGACGAGACTCAAAGTGGACGACGGATTGTTTTGTATGTTCTGTATCGTCTCGGAGGAGGGCTTTGAATGACGAGCCAAAAAGGACGAAAAAATTAATTATTTGGTATTCTCATAGTCTTGTGAAAGAAATTCGAATGACGAGCCAAAAGTGACGAGGAAAAAAATTATCTGGTATTGCATCGTCTCGAAAAAGGGGTCTTGAATGACCAGCCAAAAGGAACGAAGAATTAATTATTTGGTATTGCATCGTCTCGGAAAAGGGGTCTTGAATGACCAGCCAAAAGGAACGAAGAATTAATTATTTGGTATTTGCATCGTCTCGGAAAAATGATTATGAATGACCAGCAGAAGGGACGAGGAATTAATTATTTGTGGTCGCATAGTAAGATATCCTTCGTCAGTCAAACTGAAATATTGACGTGGATAAAAATGAGTCTGCCCAGGTCAGAGTCTGGAACACCAACTGACTTTTTTGAAACAACAGTTTGTCGTTGACGTCACAAATTTTTCGCGGCAAGATTTCAAAAATCTAATTTGCATAAACAGTAGTAGCAAGTCGCTTGGTTGGTGACCAAAGCAGTTACTACTGTATTAGACCGAACGAGGGAGAAAGGGGGGTGTCAAAACGCGTAAACGTAAAATGTCGTAGATGGAATAATACATTATTCCACAATAGCATGTACATTGCCAGGGCTAAATACAGTTAACTAAATAGTTAGTTAAATTCATACTTTTTTCTCCTAGACCGGTTGCCACCCAAGGCTATAAAACCGCGTCCGTTCTACTATTTATCCATAGCTGGGGGAGAGATGAGTTGTATTCATACATTTCTCAAGAGTATTAGCACTCAAGAGATATAATGAACTCGACTAGAATTCGAACTCCGCTCTCCGATTCCTCGACCCGGGCCGTAATACATAACTCTACCGTGTCCTTATATCATTCTTATTTTATAGTCCTCTACATTGAGTGGCTCTTGAATCTTGAAGTAGTTGAACAATATTAAAAAAAAAGGTGGCAATATTAAAAACTTAAAAGAAAATTATGATACGCGCTTTGATGACCAAACAGTAAGATCCCGACCCCTGCACGTAAAAAAATCAGTATTGACACACACATTCCGGAAACAAACTTTCATTTCATTATTGGTCGCGCCATTTTGATCTCTCCTTGAAATTCTACTGAAATCTGCAAGCCTGCTGACCACAAGCATGTCCACTTTCCAGCGCTTTTCGCGAATCGTGCCTTTTATGCCGAAGCAAGATGGCGTGTGATTGGCAACCGCTCGAATCCCTTATCTCGTTATTGGCTCTTAAAGAACAGGTAAGAATTACTAAACAGAACGCTGGCGCCAGCACAACAGAAGGCGAGCTCAACCGACAAAACGAACCCAACATCTCGAACGAAACGATTTCGATTCTTGTCTCGGCAAAGAGTGCCGGCGCGTAAAATAAAAGAAAGACGTTAACGATGTTAAAGGAACAATTCGTTGGCTCCAATCATGCCTTTCTACGCGCCACTACGCTCCGTTGTACCCCTATCTATCTATCTATCTATCTATCTATCTATCTATCTATCTATCTATCTAACCCAGTCTGTTCATATCTATCTATCTATCTATCTATCTAACTAACCCAGTCTTTTCATATCTATCGATCTCAGTCTGTTCATATCTATCTATCTATCTATCTATCTATCTATCTATCTATCTATCTATCTATCTATCTATCTATCTCAGTCTGTTCATATCTATCTATCTATCTATCTATGTATCTATCTATCTATCTATCTATCTATCTAACTAACTAACCCAGTCTTTTCATATCTATCGATCTCAGTCTATTCATATCTATCTATCTATCTATCTATCTATCTATCTCAGTATGTTCATATCTATCTATCTATCTATCTATCTATCTATCTCAATCTGTTCATATATATATATATATATATCATATTGAAGCACCTGTTCCAGTACGATCTCCGCAGGTTCGGGTGATGTAATAGATAATGGTTCGGAATTGTTAATCGGAGAGTCACGTTACAATTTCTTTTGTGTTCCTTATATTCTTCCCTTACGCACAAATACCATTGGGAAAAGCATGAATTCACCACATCTCCCCCCTCAGCTATGGGTAAGTTAGTAAGACTAGACTTGTATCTCTAAATCATTATTATCTCATTAAATGTTTCTTACAATCTGAAAATAGTTATTGGCTTTAAATAACTTGCATAGGGTTGATAAGACTTGAGAACGAACCAGTCAATTACCTCAGTCGTCATATATATATATATATATATAGAGAGAGAGAGACAGACAGACAGACAGACAGACAGACAGAGACAGAGAGAGAGATGAACAGACTGAGATAGATAGATAGATAGATAGATAGATAGATAGATAGATATGAACAGACATAGATAGATAGATAGATAGATAGATAGATAGATAGATATGAACAAACTGAGATAGATAGATAGATAGATAGATAGATAGATAGATAGATAGATAAATGGTGAATGTTGTTAAATGTTTGCGATAAAATTCAAAGTAAGGGGATACAAATGAAAAGATTTGAAACTGATAACTTTTTTCCATTCCACTGAAACAGAAGTTAAACACTTCTATCTTCCCTTCTTTCTTTCATTTTCTCTCTGAAACCAAGTAGCGTCTTTGATATGTCTTTTGTCTTCTCACGCGGCCAAAACGGAATAGTCCGTTATTTATGAAGTATTAAAAGGAGACGTTAAACACTTACTTCTTTCTTTGTTTCTTTGTTCTTCTTTCTTGCTTTTAGCGTCTCTCATAAGTCGTTTGTCTTTCCACGCGATCAGAACGGCATAGTTTGTTATTTTCTTTAGCTATTGGCAGGGCATAACGGTCGTGCGAATTAACGAAGCGTTGGGCAAGCGCAATTATAATAGGATTGTTCGATCAGTGTGGGAAATGACGATTTAGCATCATGACAAAAAGAACTTTCGAAATAGATGTCTTGAAGAAAATGTTATTCTTGCAGACGGCCTTATAAGAGCACCCCCCAACCCGTTACAACCAACTTGCTTTTTTCTCTCCGCGGTGTGTGTATTCGACTATTCTTTATCATTTTTCGCAGAGCACTGTGCAAGTAGCTGGAGGCTGGCGATAATCAACTGACTTCTTTTGCTAGAAATTGGACAACCAGTGATTTCCCCTGCAGGCCCGAGAACAACTCTGTAGGTATCAGACCGTCTCTGTAATTATGGTCGACGCCATTGTTAAGCCTCAGCGGGCAAGTCTTAAAGGAGTTTGACAAGCATAGAGGTCTTGAGAATATTAATAATAATAATAAGAAGAAGAAGAAGAAAAAGAAGAAGAAGCTGCTGATGTAGGCAACCCCCGTACCCTTCAAGGGTTACGTAGTGCAGGGTTAAAAGTTGAATCCGAAGATTTTTATCCTTGCTGCACTTGACCAATGCTTGTTAACTAGAAATTACCAAACACACATACTGAAAAAATTGTGTCAGCCCAAGATGCAAATTCTGTGATAAATATCCGAAAACAATTGACCATCTTGTATCAGGTTGCGCGTTATTGGCACCCACTGAATATATAACACGGCATGACAGGCCAATATCTGCATTGGAAAAATTGCAACTTTTACGGAAAAGAAACTGCAAGACATTTTTATGAACGCCACCCAGACCCAGTTACAGAGATAGGACCTGTTACAATTTTATGGGACTTTAAAATACTGCACAGACAAAGCTAACCGCCCAGATATCGTAATTAGAGACCGCAAAAACAAAATGAGCCTTCTTATGTGTTGTGGATTCCGGGATGAAATCCGATCTCAAATGAATGACAAACACAGGAATGAAATATAACAAATAAATGTATTTACACAATAATACAATTGGTAATACGGTTAGTAGATCCAGAAATGCGGTTAGTAGCAATAATAATATATATACAGTCTGGAAAATTCAGTATCGAAGTAGGACTTCCTTCTGAGTCTACGTGCTCGCAACTGTGACTCCTATAAAGCGGTTATCTCACACTCTCACTCTCTCACTCTATCACTCCCGGTTATTCACCGACAGCAGTACAAGCACACACAGGGCGAGTCCACTTGTATGAAAAGGGGTGTACCCCTTAATATTAAAGAAGGGCAATGCCTGCAGACTCTAATGTATCTTTGAATATCTATAAAAACTATCAAAATGCAAGAATGTTGAAATCGAAATCTCAAAAAATATGGCGTATGGAAACATCAGTAATTCCAGTTCTAATTGGAGCACTCGAATTGATTGGAAAAGGTTCCGATAAACTCACTGAATGGATTCCTGGTGGTCAATGTCTTAAAAAAAACAAAAAAAAACTGTACTCACAAGTACAGCTCGCACCTGACGAAGGGCTTTCTCTATGTAAAGTATGTGTTGTTGTTTGTTTATTTTTGATTTTGTTTTTTTCCTCAAAAAATGTTTAGTGGAAAATGTCACGATACCATTTCTGAGCTTATGTCTCTGGTTGTGTACCGGAAAAAATCAGTATACAACGAAAAAAAAAAACAAAGGAAATAATAATAATAATAATAATAATAATAATAAAACAGTCATGATGGTATCTTTTTCAAACACAAAACGTACTTTTGTTATCCATTAGCTGCGAAAGTGTGATGTGTGATGGTAATCTACCCACGCACGCATGGACTCTACCAGCTATAAAGAGGAGAAAGAAAGAAAGAAAGAAAGAAAGAAAGAAAGACATGTGAGCAAAGAAAGAAAGAAAGAAAGTGTTATGGTAATTTACCTAGGCACGCACAGACTCTCCCAGCTATAAATAGGAGCAGGTACTGTCTTTTGGAGAGGAAAGTTTCCAGCAGTCAGCTCTGACAGCCAAACCGAACATTCTTGCTGTAGCACTCTCGTTTGCATATGTCTGTATTACTGTTTCTGTTTAACATATTGGTTTAAATCAATTCCTCTCTTTGAGTCTTTATTTCTGGCCCTAACAAGGCCACAACAGATGGTTAACCAGATTTTTTGACAACGTCATATTATAGTGTACTTAATGTAATATTCATAAAATTCAGCACGATGCTGGTCTGATCTAGCGTCCACTGTAGCGCTCCCCGCCGGAGGACCAGCCAACCAAGTATCCTGTACATCATCGTTCAGCGCCGTCTTCGCTGGTTCGGCCACGTCCTGCGACGACCTGATGACCACCACACCAGACTCCGTCTACTAGTTCGACACGGCATCAGCAGACCGGAGACGAAACTCTCTTTCGGATTCTTGCTTTCATGTCAAGCTTGATTTTCAAAGATTTAAAGGCAATATGAATCGTTATCTACTGTGGTCTTGATTTCTCTTCTTTTATTTTTCTCTCTCTCTCCTAAGCAGTGATTTTTTCTCGTATTTTCTAACATTCAATAATCCCTTGCGTCTTAGTGGCTTTAGTGCCTTGCTTGCAGTGAAATGATTGAAAGAAAAAATTCCTCACATATGAAACTGAAAATTAAGGCAACTGAGAAGTGGATCTACAGAAGGATTCTGAGAATACTATGAGCGAAACATACAAGCAAAGAGTAAATTGTAAGGAAAATGTAAACAAAAAGGAAACATGTACTTAGAGATAGAGAAAGTTGAAATTAATAAGACACTTAATAAGGAAAGATGGCTTGGAGAGTTTGACACCCGCAAGATAGACTCAAGTGAAGGAATGCAGCGGGGGGGGGAAATATCGATTAGCGTACCTAAAAAACTTGCAAATAGATGACAGAACAGGGACTGTACGGGATCATAAAGCGGGGGAAAAGATAGCTTAGAGAATGGGAAGTTGTGGAGAGGCATGATCAGCTTAGTACTGAAGGGACAGAGTACCTAAAAGCCGATAGTACCCGACCCAACGATTGAACTCACGACTTTTAGCGAACCATTATCAGTTACTAGCGGCAGATTTATTTATTTTTTTATTAAATAACCTCAAACGTTTCAAAGCAAGGGATTTGTTTATCAATGGCCAAAAAACGAAGTACAAAAAAGAAAGAGAAGATATTAGGAAATATGGTTTTGACAGACGGGCAAATAAATGAATCATTCTCATATATATATATATATATATATATATATATATATATATATATTCTTTTTTCGGGTTTGTTTGGTGCCTCACGCAAGTGTTCGTAAATGTGAGACGAAGACAGTAGCTGCCATCTTGGAAAATTATCAACTGGCTAAATAGAATGTATTCACCACTCGGATTACTTATTTGCTCAGAGTAAATTAGATTAGTTGGCAAAAGAAATAGGTTGGATAAAGGAAGAAGAGAGTGTAGATACACATATATATATATATATATATATATATATATATATATATATATATATATATATATATATATGATATGTACGTTGGGGTGCGTAAAAGGTACCCATCCTGACCCACTTTTCAAAATCTAACTAAATAATAAAACGTTAGAATTTTTAGTTTTTTTTTCTGCTTGAAAGAGAATTTTTGACACACACTCGCCTCCATATACTCACACTCACAGACGCGCGCGCACACACATATGCGCATATATATATATATATATATATATATATATATATATATATATATATATATATATATATATAGTACGTTTATTTTAATACCTGTACTCGACTGGTATAAAAAACATGTCTAATAAAATTTGCAAATAAAAATATATTTAAACAAATTGGTAGCTGGGTAAAAAATTTGGAAAAAAAAAGGAAGAAAAGACCAAAAACATCGAAAAAAATCGCCCAGCACCGCAATGCCTAGACTAAATGAAAAACCACAATTAAGTAAAATAAGAAAAAACGTGAAGTGCTCAATATACTAAGTAGAGCGGAGTATTAAAAAATTCTAGCGAGCCAGAAACTACCTACTTAGGTTTCACCTTAATGGATCTTCAGGAAAGATGGGTTTAGAGGTTATAACAAAGGAACATATTTATTTGTAAAAACAAGCACAAAAACTAAAATTCGCATAAAACCATACAACGTTAATTTTACTTTTTAGTGATGTTTATCCAATAAATATTATCCTTTGTCCTATCTTCTCTGGCCAGTTCGCACTGACGATACATTTAGGTGAAACCTAGGTAGGGGTAAGTAGTTTCGGGCTCCCTAGGTTATATATATATATATATATATATATATATATATAATTTTATGTATATCATTTATATATATATATATATATATATATATATATATATATATATATATATATATTATATGCGCGGTACTTATGAGTGGCGTTCCAACAACAATATTTCCTCCCGCTATCATAAAACACCGTTGTACACAATCATAAATAAATTCAAAATTTCATTTTCCGTTTGTCTGACGATTGCAAAGAGCGTGAAACCCAGTGTCACGAACTCAATCCAATTATATATATATATATATATATATATATATATATATATATATATATATATAAAGGCCTGAAGATTGCGTCCAAGCATGAAACAGACTTTTGCCGTTTGATTTGGACCTAATTGTCTTCTTTTACATTTACATACACTCCCTGATATTGAGCAGTTTTACCCAGAATCATAGCATACCATAAAACTAGATTTTAATCATTTATA